AAATTATGTATGAGCTGCTATTAAAGGCTGCATTAATAGCTGTTGGTACACGTGGAATGGCTACATTGATGTCTCCATACTGTTGACTAAATAAAATGTTGCTGCTTGATAGTGAAGATCAAAATATTATTTTTCAGCAGTGCTTACTATGAATTTGCTTGTTTCTTGTCAACCAGGACTATTTCTGCCAAGACCCATCACCAGGCTGTTGACTTCAACATTTTTGAAGGAATGGTCTGCCATGGGGTCCCTGTGGTCACCATCTCACAGGGGAAAGTGGTATTTGAAGATGGTCTCCTGTATGTCGTGCAGGGGGAGGGGAAGTACATTCCACGGAAACCCTTTGCTGATTATGTCTTCAAGCGAGTTAAACAACGTGACCAGGTTCGTAGCTCTTTGGAAGATAATGTCATTTATGAGAATGGTTCTGGCTGGCACAAAGCTGAACAAGTCCACTCGCCAGAAGATCTGGCACAAGTTACCTCCCGAGTCTGTTCTGCATTAAAATCCAATTCTTCTGTTTGCTGGTAACTGTAATTTTGTTTGAAAAAGTTCTCGAGGAAAACAGTCACTGTGGCTTCTCATTCAGTAAAAGTGCCACAATGTAAACTGTGTTTTCTGATGGGAACTCACAAGACTTTAACAGCAAGAAGGTCTCTTGTCTCTGTGACTAACAGGGGATTCCATCCAGAACCAGATTTCATGTTGCAAGGCTGCTTTCCTGAGAATAGTTTTTCTTCCCTGCAAACCATCTTTACATTTGTGCCTGCTAGGAGGAGAAGGAAGAGTATCTTCTTTTTAACCTGTTTTGTTACCTTTAGTAACATAAAAGCTTAGCATAATGATTGTCTTAAGCATAAGGTTATAAATACGTGAATTTAGTTCTATAGACACTGGGAGGAGGGGTGGGGCAGGGGATGGAATTGGCTCAAAGGAAGGGAAGTCTTCCAAGACCTGGGGGGAGTGATGTGAATCACTGCATTCTTTAAGCCATTAGTTTCTCTTTGTACTGAATAAGAAAAGCACAGAACGAAAACAAGATTATATCAAATCCAGTCCTTCATTTCACACAAAATATACCCTATCATTGACTGCACTTGTCCATTTTATCTCCTGGGGTATTGTATTAAATACTCCTTGAGTCCCAAAGTTATTTGAACCAAATCTTCAGAATAGTGATCCGATCCTTCTTATCCCAGAGCTTTGTGAAATCTTCTCTCATGGTCTGAGGGGTGATCTTTACTCATACTGTGCTGTGCGCCAACCTGTATGTATTGGAATAGTTAAACAGAGCTGTAAAGAATTAATGCTGTTTTGATGTGAGCCATGTACCTGTCATTTCTAGAACATGTTAACATAAGAGATTCTTGTGCAGGTTTTAACAATTGTTGGTTTGTACTCAATCCAGACCTGTCAGCCTACACCTGTACAGAGAGAGCCATACCAAGGAAGTGTTGTGTCATTACTACCAACTGGTACATCTCGGCCTGGGGGGAGAGATCTCCACCAGTCAACATTTACTCTATCTGGTATGCATCACATTTTAAGATCTGGAATACTGTCAAAAGCCTTTGAATCACAAGTTCACTCAGGCCTTACTTGAAGATTATTAGATGAAAGATTGGGTGCTGGCCCATAGAAAGCTTCTTATTTAGCTCAAAAAAGTATTCTTTTAAGCTTCCAAGCAATTAGATTGTATGAAGATGTAAGGAATTCATACTCATTGGGCTTCCTCAAACTGCGACTCCGTCTATGGGCTTTTGAAACTCATTGAGAAACAACACATTTTCTCCCCTTAAACCTTTTCAATGTTCCACTGCTTTAGATAATTGAGAATGTCAAAATGAGAAGATTGCCAGCATTTTGGAGCTCTATTGCACAAAACTATTCAGGTAGCAGCACTCTGGTTATACCTACAGACCAGGATCTTTAGCCATAAATCCTAGGATGGGGCATGACCAGGATTTGTCAGGTACTCCACAAGTCATGGCAGGAGTCTGTTGGAGGAAGGGTTGGAGTTCTGAGCAGTTGTGAAGATAGAACAGGCGAAGCTCAGCCAGTTGCTGCTTGAAGCAAGTCTAGTTCCCACCTACCAGATATTGCAAGTGCATATGTGAACACTGTGTCATTTGCTTCGAGAATCTGAGTTCCGTGCAATGGGCTGAGTGACAGATCCCTTCCTCCAGAGATAGTCAGCAGAATGAAGCATAGATTGCAGCACACACCTTCGTTTTCAATACTATTCAGAGATCATCTATACTTTCCATGTTGTATTTTACACATTGTATTTCACGCCACTGTATGGAATTGCATCTGTATCTAAAATTAACTCTTTTACCGATGTTCTCCTCAGGTGAGCCTGTAGAAAAGGAATCTCAGAACCTCCAGAGAAGACGTGTCACTGAACCACCAGGCGGCCGGTCCAACATCCTTTTCTGAGTAATCGGTTCAGTCTAAAGATGGCACGTTCATTCCAACAGAATGTCACCTGCACTGTGTATTCAATCTTCCCTTCTGGTCATGCAAGAAGTATATATTTAAGCATGGTGCAATGTGAGTCCTGAATAAAGCAAACATTACATACGAATCAAAGGCTCTGCTTCTTATCTCCTCTTTAGTTCATTAAGGATTATTATTATAAACTAAGGTTTGTCACTGGAAGAGTTGAGGGAAAGATAGATGAAGCTTTATCGTTCATAGGATTTGCAGTGTTGAATTCTTTGTTATAGAGGCTATTGAGGTTGAGATCATAATAATATTTAAAAGAGAATTGGATAATCATTTGATGAGCAATAATATAAAATCTAAGGCAGTATTTTGTATGTTTGTATGTGTGTTTTCCAAATTTCTCACACTCCACTGTTAATTTCTGAAACTTTTAGTTCCATGGTCATTGTCCCAAAGGCAATGGACAGGTTTGTTGAGACCTTAAATTGAATGAATCCTGAGTGAAGATCTGACCTGATTGTTTTCTGTACAGTAAAGACAAACTACCATTTTGATGAGCAAAAACAGGTTCATACACTTTGAGAAGTCTCGAAGATGTGATAAAGCGCTACATCAAATGCAAGGATTATTATAATTATAGATTCTCAGTAAAACCTTCCACATTTTTCTATGATACTTTAATTATTCTACTTACTATTTTTTAAAATCTATATTTATACACATACACATGCACACATGTATCTAAATTTATATTTATTTAGTATTGAGAATTAAAATTCATTCTTTAAATGGGAAAATAGCTGATGTGATTGCTGATATATTTCCATCCTTATTTTGTGGCGATTGAAAAGTGATTTTCCGCCATTTATTGTCAGCCTGGGTTAGTCTGAGCTTGATCATTTATACTTGGGTATAAATTGGATAATCATTTGATGAGCAATTATCTGGCTTATAGTTGAACTATTGAAATTTCAATACTAATCGCAGAATAAACCCAGAAGGAGCGAAGCCAGGAGCAGCAATTGAGAAGGGGCTACTGAGGTTGTTCAACTATAAGCCAGATAATCGTAAATTGATAACGAAAGTGAACATAGAAAGAGCAGGGAATTGAGTTAAACATAGAATTAGAATAGTTAGCTTATGCTTGGACTAGCACCTTGCTAGGCATTATGGACAAAATCACCTACCAATAACCATACATTTACAGTTAATCTTGTGGAGCACTTTGAGATGTCCTCCCAGTGTGAAAAGCACTATATCAAATGGAAGTATTATAATAATAGCCTCCTAGGTTGTTAAATGTTCAGAGACTCTACATTGTGTGAAGGACTCTATATGGTCCAAGTTGTTTATTCTTGATTTTAAGTGTTCCAAAGTAAATCTAAAACCTATGTATAAAGGTTCACCAATCTTGGACAAGTGATGTTTGTTCTGTCCTGCCTCTCTTAGACCTTCACATACCACTTGCTATCTCCAGTAGAGAGGCAAGGCATTTAAGCTCTCATCCTGCTGCTCACTGATGCCTGCAAAAATATGATTCTCTTGTCAAACACCTCAGTTAACAATGGAAATCTTAATACTAAATAATGGAGCTTCATGTACTCTATCTCTATCTTTTACCTTTAATTGAATTGACTTTAATGAATTCTACAAATTCATTCATGTTGTCTGATCCTAGCTGAACAAAGACAACATTCCCTGAAAAGTGATTGCATGAACAAGATGGCACTTTTCCAATTTGAGTTTTATAGACCATTCTAAAACTTGCTGGAAGGTAATTAAACCTGTTGGCCTAGGGATTTGATTCCTGGCAGAAGAGGGGACTGGCATATTCATAGAATCATAGATTCATAGAATGTTACGGCACAGAAGGAGGCCATTCGGCCCATCGAGTCTGTGCCGGCTCTTTGACAGAGCAGTCACTTTCACTAACCCCAATCACCAGCTTTCACCCCATAACCCTACAAACCCTTCTTCCCCAGATACCTATCCAACCTTTCTAACAATTCAGCTGAGTAATGAAATTGCATACATTAGTACTTTTCATCTATTTCAGAGCCAACTTCTGAAGTAGCTTAACTGCTCATCAGGCGGATCTGATGAGCAATTATGCTGTATGAAGATGGAAAGAATTCACCTTCCTAACAGAGCACCTCAGTCTATGGCATTTTGATTGCCCTTTTTCACCTTAATACTCCAAATCTACATCATTTATGGGTTTATCATGCGTTACCTTGATCATCAGGGCAGCTGACAATATTCTCCATTGAGACTCTTTAACTCCATATACCCCATGGAGCAACTCATTGATGCACTCTTTCGCTCTATAATCTCGATAGAGGACATGCCCAGTTTTCGTTGACAAATTTCGCGAAATCCCTGGTTTTATAATTTTACCAAAAATTTCAGGAATTTCGTGAAATCACTGGTTTCACTACTTTACTGCAACACACACATATGTATATATATATATATATATCAAACAAAAACAGAGAGAGCTGGAAAAACTAAGCAGGTCAGGCAGCATCTAAGGAGAAAGGAAAGTGAGTCAACGTTTCGGGTCCACAACCCTTCGTCAGGACGCTGTTTGTTTCAGATTCCAGCACCTGCAGTGTTTTGTGTTTTGTACATATATATCAATCTCATTTGGATAGTGGTGGCGATGGGTTTCCGCATATGCTGACTATTGAAGTAAACAAATCATAATTTTAGCACCAAGCAGACATACTTTTCAGAATAACATTGCAAATTAATTACTTGATGTGAAAAGCTGATATTGTAGAAGTTTTAACCAGGTGTTGTGAAATGGATTTCATATCTAACAGCGCCACTGTGTGGCAGAGGTTTGAATTGCATCTTTCAGGAAAATTATAAATACAGTCAAACCTAGTTTTCAGAAACTATCAGGGGACTGAAGCAAAGTGGCCTTTATGTGAGGGTGGCCTCTGAGTAAGGGTTCATTGACCGGGACTGAAAATTAAAAAAAAATCTGTGGGCCCACGTGCAGACTCTCACTGGACCACTAGGTTTACCTCATTCGTGAGTGGCAAACTGTGGCCATCATGTGGGCTGCTCAGCCCAGTGTTGGTAAATGGGTTAAGAGACTACCAGGAGCCGAATAACAGGCCCACCGGAATTGGTAATGCATTACCGATAGGATCTCAAAAACAACAGTCTCTGCTACACAACTCAATGTAAATCTGATTAGTTTGCATTCCAAGAAAATTGCAAACTTTCATTTTGAAACACTTTCATTCAAGAGGTGCACAGGAAATTAATCAGAACCATGGAACATTTTGCTCCATCATTCACTGGTCACTTCACTTCCAATGACGGTCTTCAGTCACTTTAAAACAGCAACAGTATCAAAAACAACAACAATTTTACATTTATATGGCACCTTTTACTTTGAGGAAGTGTCTCCCTCCACAGGCTGCAGATCATCCAGAACTCTGCAGCCCGCATCCTCTCCCACATCAGGCGCTGTGACCCTTTCACCCCCATCATCGCTCGACTCCATTGGCTTCCCATCACACAGAGGATACAGTTCAAGATCCTGGTCCTCACATTCAAAGCCCTCCACAGCCTTGCTCCCCCCACCTCTGCGACCTCCGAACCCCCTACCATCCTGCCGGCTCCGTCCGCTCAGCGGATTACGACCTACTTCACGTCCCCGCCTCACCCAACTCTCCATTGGCGGGCTTGCCTTCAGCCACACTGGCCCTATCCTCTGGAACTCCATCCTGCAGTCCCTCCGCCTCGCCCCCTGTCTTGCCTCCTTCAAGACCCATCTCAAGACCCTCCTGTTCAACTGTGACTTCGCTCACTTTCCTTCCCCCCTGCCTTCCACCCTCCCCGATCCCGACCCCTAGATTGGGTCCGAAACACTGATTGTCCAGCGCCTTGGGACTTTCTCCTGACCCAAAAGGTGCTATACAAATGTAATTTTATTGTTGTTATTGTTGTTATTGTTAAAATGTTTCAATGAGCAGTCTGGGAGTCTGAACTGAGGATTGGGGGAGCTGAGGAAGCAGGAGAGAAGAAAGATGACCAAAAACCAGGCTGAAAAGAAAATTCGGGATTCAAAGGTGGGGAGTGAGAGAGTGAGACAGAGAGACTCTAAGATGGAGTCCTCACACCTGTTCTCTGAAATTCTGACATAAAATCTCTTTGCCTTGCTTCCTGTTTTCAAAAACCTTTATACAAGATATATTCATTATGTTTTTGGTCAAAATCCTTAAATCTCCTCTGTTCGTGCTGAACGCTTTTTATTATGTCTGTTAAGTGCTATGAGACATTCATTGCACTTTAAAAGTGGTACATAAGAGCAAATTATTGTTGTAAATGAAAAAAATCTTCAATGGGGTCTGGATCATCAATACAATGCTATTTTAGCAGAATGGAGGAGGTAATTTTCAAGCAATCTGGCATGAGACACTTTAACAATAATAATCTGCGCATTTGCTATTACAACCAGTGGTTTGTTCATATCATGGTATTCTCTTCAAATGCATGTGCCTTAATTTTATCTGGTACTCTTTGATGTGGTGCTTTATCTTCTGGAAATCTATAAAAATCAAATCCAATGATATTTGTTTATTTATTTATCACCTCAGTTGTTCCATTAAATAGTTATATTCCGTTTATGAGGCACCATTTCCTTTCACAAAATCATTCTGAGTTTGTCTGCTTTTTGTGTATTTTTCTAGTATTTTGACCGTATCCGTATATAATGACTTGGTTTGTGTCTTGCTCCCTTTTTGGAATAGTGGTGTCAGATTCTCTACATTCTAATCTTTGGCATAATTCCTGAATCCAGAGGGCGTATATTCTAATGTCAGTGTGGGATAGAGATGGAGAACAAAGCAAAATAATAAAGACAACCATGTTTGTCAAAAGGGAATTGTTTATTCTTGTCAAACAATTATTAAAACATTAATGTTGCACTCCCTTTAAATCACTTGCTGCTTACACCAGCACCGACATTAGTGAGAACACTGTTACGGGTGTGGAGAGTCACATTATAAGATGACTTCTTCAATGGCGTTGGAAGCAGAAGTGCCAGAGGCACCAACATAACTACTGCCCTCTGGTCATCATTTGCTGAGTGCTCGCCCCCCACCCTCCCCATATTGACCA